CGGATTCGTCAGAGACATTTGGAGGCAACAGAGTGACGATGATTGGCGGGAAATTCGATATTGCAATTCGCAACGTAGCGTAGCTTGCGGTACCCCCTATTCGTCATAGTGTGAGCCGGCCTTAAACGGCGTACGATCTAGACTCGCAGCGTAGCGCGTGTCAATTGCAACGGTCTTGCTGTTGCGAGTGGTAGGCGAGGAACATCGCAACAATACGCGCAATCATGCGAACGACAACATGCAGGGATCGCTGCTATTATATAGGTAGTGACACGCGCTCCAAAAAAGAGGTGCGTATGGTTGCGTTAAACCTGTGCTCAGCCACTCGCTGTCGCTCGCTGTTGCTCGCATTCACTGGTTGCAACTCGAATCTGCTTGTGAGCGATTTGACCTTGCGTTTGCTTGCGATAGTTTAGAAAATTTTAAAACTAGCGAGCGACCAACGCAGGCCTATGTGCTAGTCTATTGAGTACGTAGTGAGCACGTTTCATATTGCGCTTTATTGGGTATGACTGCCTATGTCTACGGCGCATTTACGCCATATAAAAGGCAATTAAGATGTTAAAATAAATTTTCTAGCTGGACCGATTCACACTCGAAGCATTCAGATTATATCACGAAAAAGAACTTCAATATTGATAGTGGAACTTCATTGGCGTCACATGTGATACATCAAACAGGCACAGAATTTCATATCAAGGTTACGGATTCTGAACTTGTTGATTTGTTTAAAGGCTATCTCTGGCATGCCTTCAGGTCAAGGGATCTAATTGCCAAACAATTTGGTATAATTTCAAGTTGTGCTACAGCTAAATAATCAAGACACAGCTGACCGTTTCGATACCTCACACCCATTAACAACATTTGCGTTGTTCTAGATATAGATCGGGAAGCCACGTCGGTCGGTTTTTTTAAATATCGAGCAGCTAAGCTCATGAACTCGGGAGAAACGAGATACCTGGTCTAGCCGATAAAATTATTACAGATATTAAGAGAGTATCTGTGTGAGAAATAGCTAACCCTTTAGCCATTTGCAGTGAGGGGGATGGGTTGATGCGGGGTCTATTTTTTAAAAGATTATAAACTGAATTTAAGTGAATAATGTAGAACGTGAATGCAAGAACCCCAAGCCCTACAAAGCCCCCCCCCCCCCTCCCAACAAAAAAGGCAATCTTCTAGAAGTACTCCTGTTTTCAATATTATAGTGCAATGCCAATCGAGAGATACACATTTTGAATATCAATGAGTAACCTGAAATTATACAAGAGTGCAAAATATTAAGCATCAATGATAACATTGGTGTGAGTGTCATGAACAATGATTAAACGGAATGTCATTTCCTTCTTTGCGTATACACGCTGATAGAACATACGATCACTTGTAATTGTGGCCCTTACCGTATTTTTTATGTCAAATACATCACCAAACAGACGAGTAAACACCATAACCATACCTTACCCATCTGGCTATGCATTTTCCAACCAAAACATTTAAATTTTTTTAATATAAAAAATGTATTACTATTTATATATTGTATAATTTCAATATATAATTTTATTGCAAATATGTTAATTCAATTCGAATTTCTGTACATGTACCAAGCAATTTGCCAAGGTCATTAAAGCACAATTACAATTATATATCATATTGTAACGAAATTTGATTACAAGTGTTTAATTCAGACTGCTCTCGTTCAGTTCTCGCTCAATATCTCTCTCACTCGAGCTCATGCGTGTATGCAATATAAATCCAACAGAAGAAATGGAGTATTCGTGAGTTTCAGTTCCATTCGATGTTTATTACTTCAAATAATGACAACTTGGTATACAGTCAGGTTCAGTGAATTACGAAAAACGGCAGAAAGGAGTACGAGGAGAAGTCTCAAGAAGTCAGTCCGAACTCTATGGTGGCCCTGAAGGGACATCGCGAATAGACTAAATCGTGAAAAATATGCGATAAAATTCACGATATCGTCAATTTTATCGCATATTTTTCACGAAGAAATTCACGAAGTTGACGATATCGTGAACTTTATCGTAAACTTTTCACGATGAAATTGACGATATTGTGAATTTTATCGTGAAAAGTTCACGATATAAAGTTCACGATATCGTCAAATTTATCGTGTACTCTATCGTGTACTCGGCGTGTACTCTCCTGACGGGCGCTTCGTAAACAAAACCAGCCCTAGCTGGGGGAGACAGAGAGAAGGAAAAAAGGGAAAGGGAAAGAGAAGATAAAAGGAAAGAAAGAATAATAAGAAGAAAAGAGGGAAACGGGGGGGGGGGCGAAGGGCTCTTGCCTCCTCCTCACTCCCCCCCCCCCCCCTCCCCGCCAAAAAATAAATCAGAGAGAGAGAGAGAAGGGAAAGGGAAAGGGAAAGAGAAGATAAAAGGAAAGAAAGAAGAGGAAGAAGAAGAAAAGAGGAAAACGGGGGAAGGGCGAAGGACTCTTGCCCCCCCCCCCCGCCAAAAAAATAAATCAGAGAGAGAGAGAGAGAGAAGGGAAAGGGAAAGGGAAAGAGAAGATAAAAGGAAAGAGAGAAGAGGAAGAAGAAGAAAAGAGGGAAACGGGGGCAAAGGGCTTTTGCCTCGTCCCCCCGCCCCCCGCCAAAAAATAAATAAGAGAGAGAGAGAGAGAGAAGGAAAGGGAAAGAGAAGAAAGAAAGAGAAAAACGAAAAAGAGGGAGAATAGGAAAGAAAGGAAAAGAAAGAAAAGAAAGGAGGCAAGAGCCCTTCGCCCCTGTTTCCCTCTTTTCTTATTCTTTTTCCTCTTCTTTCTTTCCTTCTATATTTTCTTTCCCTCTCCCTTCTCTTTCCCTTTGGCGGGAGGGGGCAGGGGGAGGTAAGAGCCTTTCGCCCTTCCCCCGTTTCCCTCTTTCCGTCTTCTTCTTCTTTCTTTCCTTTTATATTTTCTTTCCCTTTTCCTTCTCTCTATCTCTCTCTCTCTCTCTCTCCTATTTATTTGTTGGCGCGGGAGGGGGGAGGAGGCAAGAGCCCCTCTTTTCTTCTTATTCTCCTTCCTTTCCTTTTTTATTCTCTTTCCCTTTCCCTTCTCTCTCTCTCTCTCTCTTATTTATTTTTTGGGCGGGGGGATGCAAGAGCCCTTCGCCCCCGTTTCCCTCTTTTCTTCTTCTTCTTCCTCTTCTTTCTTTCCTTTTATCTTCTCTTTCCCTTTCCCTTTCCCTTCTCTCTCTATCTCTTATTTATTTTTTTGGCGGGGGGTGGGGAGGGAGGAGGCAAGAGCCCTTCGCCCTTCCCCCGTTTCCCTCTTTCCTTCTTATTATTCTTTCTTTCCTTTTATCTTCTCTTTCCCTTTCCCTTTTTTCCTTCTCTCTGTCTCCCCCAGCTAGGGCTGGTTTTGTTTACGAAGTGCCCGTCAGGAGAGTACACGATAGAGTACACGATAGAGTACACGATAAAATTGACGATATCGTGAACTTTATATCGTGAACTTTTCACGATAAAATTCACGATATTAGTACAGCCTGTAATGTCCCAATATTGAATCCCGTGAGATAATTGTGCCAAAATTGATTTTTTTGGCTAACTTTGTCAATTTGGGGGTGCTGAATCCAAAAAACTTTGGTACCATTTTTTTCGACCACGTCTTAGGCGGCCATTTTGAATTTCAAAATGGCCACCATAAAAAATGCATTTTTTACCATTATTTCATATTATAGACATTGGAGAAGGTGCAAATGTGGGATAAAATGTATGCTTATGATGTCTGATATATCAATACACATTTTTATAAAATTTTGCTTTATTTCGATTGGCCGCCATCTTGAAATTCAAAATGGCCGCCATTGCTAATCCTATTTTATCTCATGTCTCAAGTTATAAGCACCTGGAAAGGTTTGTACCGTAACAGTATCATAATACTGATGCTGTGTGTGTTTTCAAACAAAACACAAGCTCCCAGTAACTGACCATTCGAATTGGCCACCATTTTGAAATTCAAAATGGCCGCCATGGAATAACATTTGCTATATTAATTCATTTGAAAGTACCTTAGAATCATCCATTTTGAGAGTTCATCTGTATTTAAAGCTTGCAGGACCTGGTACTTAGAATACCGGCTGTCATCTTGATCATCGTATATATGCCTAAACGCATCACCCCCCCCCCCTTCTTCCACCCGGGGGGGGGGGGGCTTAATTATAACATATAACAGTTACTGAATGTGGTGTTAAAGAAAAACTAGAAAAATAAATTCCTTGGACTGGACGTATTAAAACTTCAGTGTGCAAATACAGGCCTGTTATTCCAGAGATAAGACATGATGAGACACGCATCACATCAGAATGCAGTATCACGTGTCTATGCAGATTGCCAGCATACATCTTTGATATGACATGTGCTCCCCATGTGCTCTCACCCACGTGGATGTATGTGTATAGATACACTATGTAAGTCTGTGTCCCATACAGATTACACACAACTGACAGATTGTTTTACTGTCCCACTAAACCTATTTACTTGTGTAAAGACTCAAGACCTCTACAATGTTCTTCTATGCATTCTGATTTTGTCAGAGCAGCTGTCACCATACCACATGATTTGAGAGGTAGGCCTTTTAAACTATTAAATTTGCCTACAATGTACATTTACCTTTGTTGATAAACAGATGTCAGTTGCTGTTGTTTTATAAGAATGTTTAAATAGACATTTGAATATGTGTAATGTGAAGTATTCTCTTTGCTCAAAGTCAATGATGTTACCATCTCGCACATACGTACTGTACAGTAGCTATTTGTATCTGTGTTATTTCCTATGAGTGCTGGGTGTTGAACAGTTTATCAAAGTTATTATAATTAACCCAAAATGATCGGAATAGGCTCCAAGGGAAGCAAATTTATCAATGATGTATTTGTGATCCCTACAATAACAGTGTTTATCAATATGGAATCTAGGGGGAAATTTTTATGCCAACATGGACATCTTAATTCACTACAAACTAGTAACAGATTAGTGAATCTGTAACCAATCGATGCATAATCTTTGCTGTTTTTCCCCTTCACTCCCTTCAGGGTCTGATTCAGATCTTAAATGATGAAAGAGTGGATATGAGGAAACAAAACTGTCTCATGTGTGTCAATTTCCAGGTTAGCCAAGAGAGAACATAAATGATTTATTATTTTTTTATCTTTTCAATACAAAAGTGAGTGATGCATTAATGAATGAATCAAAAATATATTGAAATCTTACTGAAATTAGATTTTGTGAATAAACGTCAACAATACATTACAAACGATTTACATTCCACCTTTATGCTGTCATTGTTATGACTTCATTAATTTGCTCGAAATGAAAGAAAATCTAATGCTCATTCAGTCATCCGGTCTCTTTCCAGGACTGAACGAGCAGACAAGATGGAGACCTCCGGCCGAAGTTCAAATAAGTGTATCGTATGTTTGCAAGCTGATGAATCAACCCAAATGAACTTGACACCATCCAAATCATCCCTAGAAAAACTCAAAGACTTTGCAAAAAAACGCTCTTCTTTGGGGGAAACTACGATTTCTCCTGTTTGGGAAAGGATAGTAAGTCTTACAGATGAACAATATTTTCAGTCTGTTTTTCATTGGGCATGCTACAAACAGATTGTAAATAATGCGAAGTTGAAAAGGGCAGAGAAAAGGGTTCTTGATGCATCATCATCATCATCAAAGACAGCAGTCCAACCAAAGAAAGGACGGCCTTCAAGATCGGTTTCACCGTCATGCAGCAAAGGAGATGTACCAGGGCGACTAAGAAGATCAAGCTCTGCACCGAATGCCAAAAATTGTGTGTTTCAATGCAAAAATGCACATAGTGGTGAACTACATAGAGTAGAAACAGAGTCTATGGGGAGAAGATTAATGTTCATCAAATCAAACACAAAAGATGAAAAATTACGTGTGGCGTTAGCTCATGTTAATGAGCCTACAGATTGTTCTGCATTTGACTTGATGTATCACAGAAATTGTCTAAGGGATCATGAGCGAAAGGTACAGGGCTACTCCAACTCAGAGATGAGGTCCAAATTAAACATTGGCAAACATATTGCTGATATTGACATATTGAATGCTGTGAAATGTTCTTTGAATGAAGGGTTTACTGTGACGATGAATGAAGTTAATGAGTTGTACGTTTCATTCCTTGCTGACAATGACATCGACCCCGGACCTTATCACCACAAAAAACACCTGAAAGCAATAATATCAGAAAACATTGAAGGAGTAAATTTCATAAAATCACATCGTGCCAATGAAAGTGAACTTCTCGTAGGTGAAAAGCTGCTTGGAAAAACTGTTTCTGAACTTCATGAGCAACAAACAGAAGAAGCTGATGTTGAATGTCTTCAGGAAGCAGCTACGATACTAAGAAAGGCACTTGCATCTTCATCTGCTAAATGGAAATTTACAGGTATCCAGTCGATGTCAGAATTTCAGCATCCTCCTCTACTGACCAGTTTCCTTCGTTGGGTTCTCTTTGGCACAAAATGCGTAGGCATTAAGGGAAGACGTAGCCAATCATCAAGAAAAGCAGTCAATCTTATGGCGCAGCAAATGTTGCTTAACTTCAAGACTGACCGTCAAGCAGCATATTCACCAGAATCAGATGCCGAATTCAGAAGGAGGCATGAAACGCCGTTATCAGTAGGATTGGCACTCACAATACACAAGAAGACAAGAAGTAAAGATCTAGTTGATCTTCTATCCCATTTGAACATTGGATGCTCGTATGATAAGGTGCTGCAAATTGAAAAGCGGATTGCCAGTGGAGTTGCAGAAAGGATGGAGACATCTGGTGGGTTTTGTTTGCCACCTTTCATTGAGAAAGGAAAGTCTCTATTTTTCGCAGCGGACAATATTGACTTCCTTGAAAACACTGCCGACGGTCAGAACACTCTCCATGGTACCATTCTGGTAATCAATCAGAACCAGGGTGGGGATAGTGACTCAACCACAGGTCTCCCGGTCAGTGAACCACTCCGGATTCCAGACGATGTCAAACCCATTGATGTAGACATCAAACTACAGCATCCACCATCTCTTGAAGTCAAAACAATCACTGCCAGTTCATTTGAGTTTGGCTCCTTTCAGCATGCCATCAGCGAAAATGAGATGTATGACAAGGCGTGGTTCATGGCATCCTTTTCTACAAGGTCAAATACAACTTCAAGTGCAACACACCCTGTAGCTGCAAATGAATCTCTACACATTGATATTTCTCAACTGACTGAGCCTCTTGATAGTCAATCACCGCTTACAGAACAATCAAGTGATGATGAGACTAGCCTCCACGTCCATTCTGATCAGAACAGTGATACACAACCTGAGGACGAGCAATCTTTGGAGTCGGTTACTTCAGGTGCAACTTTTGAACATTACCTTGTTTCGGATATTGAACAGCCTATGGCAATGACAACTCCTAGTCTAGACAATTCAGGTGGGAATTCCAGAGTCCATGGAATTGAACAAAGTGAAGGAAGCACTAAAACTTCTGAAGGACCTGGTGTACACTCATCAGCCAAAGCACTGAAGAAGACAGTAGTGCCAACCTGGGCAGCCACCAATTCCTTACTCGTTCAGGCACAGCAGAAAGGAAATCAATCCTTGACAAAGAGTGCGATTGTTGCTCCTCTGTTACGCCGACCTCCCACTGACTATTCATCTCTCTTTACAATCTTAAGTCTTGCTCAAGGGATATCAGCTGCTGTGGTTGGTCCTCATAAGAAAACAGTCATCACCCTTGATCTTGATTTGTATGAGAGAGCAACCAAACTTCAATCTTCCACAGGGAACAAGAACTGGATTCTTCGAATTGGTGAACTCCATGCCTGCTTCGCATCACTGCATGCAATTGCAAAATATCTCGAGGACAGTGGCTTGGAATCTATTAGCATTGAAGCAGGCCTCTTTTCCCCTTCAACGATCCGCCAAATATTCACTGGAAAGTGGTTCAAACGTGGTATTGAATTCCACATGACCAACATCATGGCGTGCTATGATCTCCTGTTTGAAGCATCAGTACATCATGAGCACTTGGACAGCATGATTAAGAAATGCGAAGAGCTTCGTAAGAAGTTACACGAGAGAGATAGTGACATTAAACAGGTTTTTGAGGAGGTAACTTCGATGATTAAAGAGCATTATCAAACCACAATCATCCAAGAGAATGACGAGATGGCAACATTCTTACTCAACTACATGAAGCAAGTTGAGAGTTTACTGCATGTGATTCGAGCTAGCAGACAGGGGAACTGGGAGCTGCATCTCGCTTCCATGGAAGAGCAGGTCAAGTACTACTTTGCACATGACTTATACAAGTATGCTAGGCTCGTGCCAATCTACCTTCTTCAAATGCATTCGCTGAAGACATCTGATCCTACTACTTGGGATGCACTAAAGGCAGGGGACTTCATGGTCACTAAATCTGGCATCCCATTCACGAACCTATTTGTTGACCAAACATTGGAACAGCTGATCAGGGAAGTGAAAGTAGCTGGCGGCATCACTGGAATAACACAAAATGAAGAAGCACTGGGTAGGTTTTTCCTGATTGCCCCTGAATTGGTCATCCTCATTCAAGACTTCCAAGATGCTTACTGTTGTACCACCAATGACTCTCAAACTACGAAGGAGCACTATCAGCTCAGTGGTTCTGTGGCTCTTCGCATGCACAGAAATTCCTCAACAATCAAGAAAGCAATCATACGACACTGCGAGGGCAATCCATTTGAAATCAGGTCAATGAAGCTGATGAATATGGTATCTAACATGCAAGTTCCTGAAGCTTTCAAGGAGGACATTCTTGAAAGAGATGTAAAGGGAAAGATCATGTTCCAAGAATTTGTATCTGACAGAATAGTTGAGTCATCGGCCAAGAAATCTATCTGGGACCCAATGAGGAAGGCCAAACTGAAGACATTCAGCTCTTGCAGAAAGAAGACACAGTGTAAGATTGGAGCCAAGCTCGTCAAGCTAAGAGAGGATCGCCAACTTCTTGCAAGATTTCTCGTTGTTCAGCAGTCCAGACCTGGAATGATACATTCACTGGGTGACACAATTGGAAAATATGAATTTTCTGTCATTCCTAGGTCGCTATTTACCTCAGATGGCCTTCTCCTTATCCCATCAGACAAAAGCTCTTTCATCCATGCCATAGAAACCTATGGAACTGAACCGAATAGTCAGTCTGAAGACCAGATCAATGAGCAGCAAGATTCACCCAACATAGAGACATCAGGAGAAGACAAGAAAACAGACAAACTGTGCATCATCGATGCCATGGCAGTTGTCCAGGCCATAAAGAAGTCCCCATCAATGGTTGACTGCTCCGACTTTGCTGCTGCTTTTGTTAGGAGCATAAGGAAAATTGCATCCCAGTACGATGAAGCACGTGTTATCTTTGATAGATACATTGATGATTCCCTCAAGGCACAGACTAGAGGGAAAAGGACTGCAGGTATTGAACCAGTGAAGTTTGATATCAAGGACAATACCAACATCAAGCTCGTTTCACTGAAGACTCTTCTGTCTCACAACTACACCAAGTCGCAACTGACAGAATATCTTGGAAAGGCTGTTCTGCATGAGTATACAAATAGTAGCAAGAACGTTGTTGTCGTCTACGGAAATGCTACATATTCCAACAAGCCAGATATGTTTGATCCAGAACTCACCCATCACACACATGAGGAAGCGGATACACTCATCCCATTGCATGTACTGGATGCTACCTCAAAAGCAGCAGAGAACATCATAGATATTGATGTTTATTCTCCAGACACTGACGTCTTTGTATATCTGATGGATCTTTGTTCTACACACAATGTCTTAGGTCGCCTTTGCTTCATCACTGGAAAGGGAAATGCGAAACGTACAATTGACATTGCTGAGAGATGTTCTGCAGTTGGTAGCGAAAAAAGCAAAGGTTTGCTTGGTCTACATGCATTCAGTGGTGCCGATTGGGGTGGTAAATTTGCAGGCATCTCAAAGAGCAGATGGATCAAGCAGTATTTGGGCCTTGACCCAGAATGTGACATAGTCCATGCATTCCAAACATTAGGTGAAGAAGACTTCAACCAGGAAAGTGTGTTATCAGTCTTGGAAGACTTTGTCTGCAAGGTGTATGCTAGAAACAGCAAAGCCACAAAAGTGAGTGACCTTAGATGGGAGTTATTCAGGGCAAAAAATCTTGAGGCAGAAAAGCTCCCACCAACCCTTGGATCCTTGACACCACACATCCAGAGGGCAAACTTCGTAGCCAGAGTCAACAAGGGATACAAAGTTCCAAAACCAAAGCTGCCCCCTCTAGATGGAAATGGATGGGAGCTTTCCCCAGAAGGAACATTCAGTGCAACCAAGTGTTTAGAGCTTCCTGCGCCGAAGGCAGTCATGGAATTGGTCAAATGCTCATGTCGGAAGGAATGCAAAAGCCATTGCTCTTGCAAGAAGAACCATCTGCCTTGCACAGCCCTATGCAAGTGTTGTGACTGTGAAAATACACAGGACTATGATGTGAATGTGAATAGCCCCGATGTTGACTAGGTGAATATAAAATTGTAGATTATAAGAAATTGTTGTTTCAATGTCGCAACTAAACTCACATCCATAAGATTAGTTGTCATTTTAGACACAGTTGTAAGGAGGTACATTTGGTAGACATTTGGTCTTTGAAATCACAATCGCATGATTTATCAGTCTCAGGTTATGCCATGCATTATATGTCATTATCCAATTCAACATATCGCAATATAAAGCAGGAGTTGACTGCCGTGATTGATTCTAGAATCACATGCCTTCCAAAATGATTGATTTTGCATTTTAAGCGCTCCAATACCCAATATGTGTTACAAATCTGAAATACCATATTATGGCGGCCATTTTGAATTTCAAGATGGCGGCTAATTAGAATGGTCATCATTAAACGAAGCATGTATTTCCTTTTAAAGCATGTATATCATCATAATGATGATCCTATAACAAGTTTTAACCTTTCCATGCACTTCTAACTTGATATTCAAGTTGAAATAGGCTTAACAATGGCGGCCATTTTGAAATTCAAAATGGCGGCTTATCCGGAACAAAGCACAATTTCATGGAAATTTGTATTACTATATCAGACATCAATGCCATGCTTTTTATCCGAAATTTGAACCTTCTATGATGTCTATAATATGAAATAATGCTCAAAATGCAACTATTTATGGCGGCCATTTTGAAATTCAAAATGGCTGCCCAAGACGTGGTCGAAAAAAATGGTACCAAATTTTTTTAGATTCAGCACCCCGAAATTAACAAAGTTAGCCCAAAAAATCAATTTTGGCACGATTATCTCACGGGATTTCATAGTAGCCTCTACTATATCGTCAATTTCATCGTGAAAAGTTCACGATAAAGTTCACGATATCGTCAATTTCGTGAATTTCTTCGTGAAAAATATGCGATAAAATTGACGATATCGTGAATTTTATCGCATATTTTTCACGATTTAGTCTATTCGCGATGTCCCTTCAGGGCCACCATAGAACTCTGTCTAACAAGTCCGTCTAAGAAGTCTGACTAGGAAGTCTGAACTCTGGAGATTGAAGTCTCTCGATTTTAGAATCCCTGGCTTTATATAGGGAGCTGTTTTGTAGCAGCAAGGACACAACCCGACCTCGAGCTAAAGGGCAGAGTCTGTCCTCAAACTGAGGACAAAGTCTGGCCTCCGCTCGGGGTCAGTCGGAGGCCGCACGCGACTGAGTATCTGTCCTTGCCGTTACGTAAGACGAGGACAGATTCTCTAGACGAGCGTGGCCCTGGGCTTACGCAATCGAAATTCAAGAACTACTCGAGGACGAAAAACAACGTCGTAAATCTACTGAAGGACAAGTTTGACTTGCACAGCAAGCAATAATATACAGCGAAATAATAATGAGCTATGCACATGGTACAGACATAGGCCTATATCTAAATTCGTAACAATATGTACAAAAGAATTCCAATTTTACTACCATAATTTTACCATGCATAATGTTTTACCTGTAATTTTACTCTGTCACTGATGTATACTTTGTAAAAGAAACTGCAATTCGGCTCTCGGGCCGCGAATGTTTTTGAATGAAATAAACCATTTTAAATAAAAATTCATTGAAAACTTTAATAAAGATTAAAAAACGAAGCCTTGGGGATCTATTTCAGCTGTGTGAAAAAAGAGAACAATGGCATACAAGTACAGCGTATAACGAGATCTCCAACCGGATCTATGACTGCGAGGTAGACTGGACTACATGTATAAAGGGTTCTTGGTTTTCGGATGGCTTTGCAAAGCCGAGTCAGAGCGAAAAAAAAAGCAGAGATCTAAATGATCAACTCGTAGAGCATGGCTTCCTAGACCTAGCACGTGAGATTATGATCATACCACAACGACAACTTGATCATAGATTGGGAAATATATGTTATGAAGAAAGTCTTGTATTCATGAATCAAAAGGAAGTTGTTGATCAACAACGGTTGTGATCATCATTGGCAATTTTAATAACGTTTATCTTTATGATAGTTACAATAATGACAGTAACAGTTATAGTAGTAATAGGAGTCAAAGTAGAAGTAATAGGTTTTCCCGCTCACTTTTGGAATTTGGTCATTCAATTTCATGTTAAGAGCATTGAAATTCACGTAAGATGTGATCGCTGGGGCAAATTTCCATTCGTTCAAATTCGATGTTCAAGCAACAAGCTCTTCAAATAAGTCATGTTAATTTGAATAAGGAGTATACGATTTAATGAACGGTCATTTAATTTCTTTTTCTCTCGTTCGAATGTAATCCGTACAAACAATCCTTCAAATAAGTCAGCTAAATTTAGAGAAAGAGCATGCAATTTAAGGGATGGGCATATTGACAGTTATATTCGTGGTTAATATGAATGCATACTTTATGCCCCTCCCCCCTTGAAATAATCTGGATCCGCAACTGACATGGGCGATTCCATGCATACACTAATTCAAACGCATCGAGATTGTTGTCTTCTTTGTGATGACAACTGCATAGCGATGAAAAGGGGAGCGGGACACTTTTCATAGCTATAGGTAACACCCCTTTCTATCCGAATATCACAAAGACCGTGAATACTTCAGATTGTTAAATATTAACACTAATTAAACAAAAATGAGTTTGGAAATGCCAACCACAGCACATAGTCATGATGGTTTGTTTGCTAATGCCACAATTACGTACACATTACAAGGAAATGTCTGATACTTGGTTTCATGGAGATGAAGTTAATATTAAAAAATATATTGGTAATATAACTAAAATACTCTCGCGGCACCCCGGTTGAACAACGTTACTAGATTGGCAAACTAGGAAGGAGAAAGATTGACTAGGCTGGGAGGAATATACCCTTTGCTCTTATAAGGAGTGGGACAATTGTACATTTTAAAGTGAAACGGACACACATACATACTCTCTTTCGGTCTCTTTACCCGTATATCTTCTATCTTTCACTCCTATCTCCATTTCTTTTTCTTCACAGGACACAGATCGGATCACCCCAAAGCATATTTCGATAATCGTTTCTTGCACCTCTTACAACAGATTTCATTTAACAATTACCATGTTGCTGAGTTACTAAGTCACACAGCGTTTTCAAGCAATCCACATCTCCTTATATTATCTGACGTTCTTTTCCCTTTTCCTTCATCTCTCCTCTCGCTCTCATCTATTCTTTTGCTATTCTATTGGAAAGCTAGTAGTGATGAAATTGTTTGTTATCAAATAATAAAGTAAACATCAAAGTGAATTCAAGCATCTTTTTCAGGTATAGTCATGTGCAGTGGCGTTATTTGAACAGTTTGACGGGTGTGTTTGTGTATATGTCTGTGTGGGCAGTGGAAGCAGGCGCGGACGCAGCGGGGAATTTTTGGGGGTTGAACCCCCCCCCCCTCAATTTGTGTTATGTGTGTTTTTTTTTTTTATGAAACCCCCCCCCCCCTCCTCACATGTTTGTTGTTAATAATACACACACACACACACAAATATTACCAAAGGGTGACCCCCAAAAAGTGACCTGACCTTAGAAAAAATCCTGCGTAGGCCACTGAGTGGAGGTGTATATGTGATTGGACCAGGCGTATCCGGACACCTACCTCCTGGACATCCACCTCCGGATAACCACCCCTAGTCAACTACCCCCCGGGACAACTACCCATCGGACAACTACCCCCTAGGACAACTAACCCCCGGACAACTAACCTCTTGACAACTACTCCCCAAGGATAATTGTCCCGGGGTAGTTGTCCTAGAGGATGATTGTCGTAGGGGGTAGTTGTCTGGGGGTAGTTGTCCGGGTGGTAATTGTCCGGAGGTACTTGTCCTGGGGGGTAGTCGTCCGGGGTAGCTGTTCCGGGGGGAGTCGTCCTAGAGGGTGATTGGCCTAGAAGATAGTTGTCTTAGGGGGTAAGTTAAGGGTTAGGTGTCCTATAGAACAGGAACAGGACCATGACAATTATGAAATTAAAATCAATTTATCACATTTCCTTCAATCTTAGTAACCTACGCTTAATTTAATGACACAGATAGGCTCAATTCATAAGAATATTGTGTTTAATTGCATCAATATTGGAGACCCGTAAATTTAGGACGTTTATATGTTTACGATGGATAGTAATTCGACTTATATGCTACAGTTAGCGTTGAAACGCAGCCTGTTAGAAGGCCGCATATGCCAATATTTCAGAAAACAAGTACCCCCCCCCCCCTGGCTTTGTAATAAGGAGTTTTGAGGAGGTAATAGGCACCCCTTCTCCCCACTCCCCTCTCCAGCTACGCCGTTGAGTACAGATCTCCGTGTAAATCCGTTAAATCTTGATAGCTCTGTGGACAAGTTGATCAACATGGCGGTTCAAATAGCATTGGTTGTGGTTGTGGGATTATTCATCGGAATCTGTGGGCCACCTGGTAAGTGATAGTAAGGTTTCATATTCAATAATTTTTATTGTATGAAATAACTTTTTGAAAGTGAAATATCTATATAACTTTATCGTTATACAGCAGGCTTGCGGATGCACCATGTGGGAGAGAGGGAGGATTGAGGAGTCCTGAAAAAGGACTCTCGGTAATCTTTCTTGAGGGTGTGAGTCCTGAAAAGGACTGTTGGTGAAGTCTTGAAAAACACTGTTGGTTATCTTTCTTAGCTTATAGTTCTAAGGAGAACTATAGTGCTTGGAGAGGATGGGTAGCGGGAGTGGCTCGACGTTTCGGACAGGTTGACTATCCGTCGTCAGGAGTGGAGAATAGGGACTTTTAGATTTGCGTGGACCGATACGTGTGACGTCCATTCAAGGCAGTGCATTAAAAGGACGTCGACCGTAGCAATCCACATTGTCTTCGTGCAAATCTAAAAGTCCCTAATAGCTGGTACTATACATGACCGGGTGGGCTTGAGTCTCCAGGGTGTGGAGTTGGGTGGTCTGCTTGTCCATCTGCTTGTCCGTCTGGGCTGGAGTCTCCGCGTTGCGGACTTGGAGGAGCTTCAGAATTCTTAACAAAAAATGCGATGGAAGGATAAATATGATGAAATATACACGTATCTGTAAAGGAATTATTGTTTACGATTCAGTTCAGTTACGATAATGATCATAGGTCATAGGCTTGTTTCCACTTTTACTGGGTCAATCTAATAATGTTTTGTTGTAATATTTGTGTATTTCATATTTGTTTTACAGTGTAATTACATCGAAGTACGGGCTCTGTCACAAAGCTTGCTTTTATGTGCTAAAGATATCATATTATTTTATGCAGAATACATAATGAAAATAATCAATGATACATTCATCACAATTTTCAAAATGCTATAGCTTTATGGAACTTAAGAATTAAGAGGTTTGTACATATTTGTCGTCGTTAATAGGTATGTTAATAGTATCACAGGGCCCTGCATGTACTTCATCATAATCCTCATCAATGATCAAGACCCATTATCCAAACTCGCTATCAAATCCAAGGATTTTTCTGGATGATAATTTCATCATAATTATTTCATTTTATTTTGTTCGATGAGGGTTTGTATTATTAAAGCATTAGAACTAAATAATATCGAAAAGAAATGCATTTTTTAACAATATTATTCATGGATCAAAGCTGACAATGAGCTTGAATATATTACCAACAGGCTTAGAATGTAACATTTACGTTAGAAAAAAGAAAATATATACAAACATG